ATATACACACAAGTACATACACACAGATACACAAGCACATACACACATATATACACACAAGTACATACACACAGATACACAAGCACATACACACATATATACACAAGCACATACACACATATATACACACAAGTACATACACACAGATACACAAGCACATACACACATATATACACACAAGTACATACACACATATATACACACAAGCACATACACACAGATACACAAGCACATACACACATATATACACACAAGTACATACACACATATATACACACAAGCACATACACATACAGTACATACACACAAGCACATACACACATATATACACACAAGTACATACACACATATATACACACAAGCATTTACACACATATATACACACAAGTACATACACACATATATACACACAAGCACATACACACAAGCATTTACACATATATACACACAAGCACATACACACAGATACACACTCACACACACACACCCACACACACAACACACACACACTCACACACACAGACACACACACACACACACACACACACACACAGACACACACACACAACACACTCACACAACTCACACACACACACACTCACACAACACACACACACACTCACACAACACACTCACACACACACACACACTCACACACACACTCACACACACACACACACACATACACGTTTTTGTTACCTGGTGGGTCCCTTTGACAGGGCCGTTCAGAATGGGACCCATAGACATAATCTTTTTTTACCAAGACTTTAAGTAATACAAAACAGTCAATAGAAACCAAACAACTATTTTAAAGGAATTTTATTTTAGATTTTGTTTTCGAATTGCAGTGATTCTATTTTTGACATAGAATTTAATGCCACTCCATGTCCGATGTCTAAGGTCATCTGGTGAGGCATTAATGCAGGCCAGGCCAGGCCAGGCCAGGCAGTGAGACTTCCCAGGGACCTTTCCAGTCTGTATGAAAGGTGTCATGGTCTTCTCCACAGCCTTCACCTCAGATGCAGACCATGGCTTTCTTACACGTTCTAGGGAGAGAAATAAAAATATATTAGCAATATACACTCCCAGGGTGAGGACCAAGCAGCCTGGCTGTAATCCCCCACCTGGTACACTTACCAGAAGGGGCACTGCCACTACCATGGGGTGCATCTGGATGAATGGTTGAAGGTTCTCCGCTTGAAGTTTCTTTTAGCCCGTCCGTTTGTGAGAGGATCTCTACTGCTCTCCCTGTCGCACAGAAAATAAAAATACAAGTGGCCTTTAGGGGAAAAAAATCATACATATTTTAATAATATCAAGAATTACCTTCAGGCTCAATTTGTATCTGGTCGAGGCTCTTTCCTTCGAATTCCGTCACTCTTCCCTGCTCCATGGCCATCAACACTTTGCTGATTTTGGCCAGCTCCAGTGTCCCCTCTGGTAGTCTGTAATATTGCCTGTGGATGCGAATGTCATGGCCGAGGAAGTTGGCAAGTATGTCCATCTCATTCTCTTTCATATTGAGAACTGTAGACATAGTAGCTATTTGCTTTCTAAGTTTGGTTGAGGATAGCATCTCTGGATGCACCGCACCACATTCTTTGGCTACCTGGCGTAGGGAGTCTGATCCCCTGATGTGGGTGTCTGCGCCCGGGCGGGAAAAGAAGTATGGGTTATGGTCAGAGATGGAACAGGCCCTTCTGTTCTCCACCAGCACCTCCATCGAAGCAATCATTTCAGGAGTCAAAAGAACCGGCACTTTCCGACTTCTTTTCCCTTTAATTTCAATGCGTTGAAAATGCTGACACAGCTTTTTCTCAAGTTGGGACAGTCCCAGAGCAATGTCAGAATGGATCCCAGTCTTACTTCTTAAGGTAAAGGCTGTCAGTGGCATCTTTGAAACCTCACCTTCCCTTCTTCGATTGAAAATGATGACCTCACAAAGAGTCAAAACTGCCAGTTTAGACCAATGCTTAGACGTTGGCTCACTTATTAGGGTTTGCACATATTCAGGTCGACATACCTCAATATGTGCATGCATGGCTCTAACGTCCTCAGTCAGAGGGAGCAGGTCCGGAGTGTTCCACTTGGCTTGCCGGAGGGTCTGTAGGGCAGCAGAAGAAACACAGACGTCCCACCTCTTCTCAAAAAGCAGCCGGCTTCGTTGGAGGTTTTTAATAAATAGTTCATCAACACAATGCTCCATTTTTGAGTCACATTCAAGAATATCTGCTAGCTTTCTGAGGCTATGGCCGAGTTTGAGGGCCAAGGATGGAGTCTTGTATTGATTTGTTTCCTCATCATATCCAGCCACAGACCTGACTGCATCAATCACATGGTTAAAGTTGGAAGGAATAAAGAAATCCTTAATTGTTTTCAGTTTCCCTGCGGTTTTTGCTTCGTTAATTAACCTACCGACTTCTCTCATTTTCTGCCTAATGTAATCATGCTTAGTCTTATCATGCCCGTGTTTTAAGTACAGGTGCTCTCCGAGTCTCAGAATCCCCTTTTCTGCTTTGACAACACCCGTGACCTCATCCTGATGCATTGCCGAAATTAAAGACCACAGCTTTTTGCTGATGCCCTCCGGTACAGGCTGGGCTAGGGAGCAGAGGGACTGGACCCTACTTCTACCTGGTTTAGCCTGGGCATCTTTCTGTGAAAGCCGGCACCTGGCCACATGCCTCCACAGCGACTTTCGCTTAAGCAATGCCCCACAGTCTATACAGTGCAAAAACTCACTGGATTTAACTGGGGAATTTGGCTGTTTAGCTGGGACTAAAGTTCCAATGCCGGCCTTTAAAACCTCAAAATTGTGCTCACGGTTTCCACTATTCCTGATCAAATCAAACTGAAGTTTACGTGCTTTAGATTTCACAGGTAGAGCCAATGCTCTGGCTACGTCACTTTCATTTCCATGTTTTCTAGTCAAATGACGGGACATTTTGTGGCAGGACATTGAACAGTAGAGGCAGAAGTGTCTCTTGCTGTATACTCGCCCCCCATTTTTCTTCTTTTGCAGCTGCATGATAACAATCTTATTTGCCTTTGGTTCGTCACTTTCCGAGTCTTGAAGAAAAGTGTTTTTGATTTTTCTTTTTCCATACTTTTTTACAGGTTTCTTCTTGACAGTTAAATCGTCAGAATCTGAGTCGACTTCATCAATTAGGGACTCTTGACTAAGCTGCACAAACAACAAATAATTTGTAATCATTCTATATAACAATTTGAAGTCATGACTTGTAGTCAGCACTTACCAGTGGTTTGTAAGCGTGCGCTTCAGTGTGCTCCTCCATGATTTCTTGCAGCCTAATGAACCACACACTTGCACCTTTTTCTAGCCTGACACCTGATTTCCTCTGTTGTGCTGCTCCATGATTGGCTCCAGCCTGCTGGACTGAAATTGCCCCAGTGTGCCCCTCCTTGATATCCCGCAACCCACCACCAGGGTTCCGACACATAACACACTTTTTTCAGGAAAGTAAACCTCCAGGGGTCCTTTCCATATTTTTACAGAGACTGCATAAGGACCGTTAGAAAAGCATTACCCATTGATTATTAAGCTTGGACCAGTGGGGTCCGGTGTTCGGGCCCCACCACGTAAAACCAGTCCCCATGACGTGAGTGGAATCTCTCAGGTTATGGAACCCACCAGGAGTTGAAAACAAGTGCACACACACACACACACACACACACACACACACACACACACACACACACACACACACACACACACACACACACACACACACACACACACACACACACACACACACACACACACACACACACACACAGAAGTGTTGGTCAATCAGTGGCAAATGTTTGTAACACCTCTCACCACCTCAGCTGGCAAAGTGCAGCCAGGGCCACATACAGCCCAATTAACTGTCTTCCCATATTCTAATGACTGCAATGAAGGATTCTAACTTGGTGAGAGCTACGATGGTATGTCATAATAATTCATCAAAAACGTGCATCTGTCCACAATCCTTTTGCCTTCCGTGGCTTTTGTCCAGCTTTGGTTCAACCCAAACAAGAAATCAAATCTAAAGACAACAAAAACATGAAATCTATATTTAATAAAATATAATATACTTAAAGTACCTCCCATGTGTCATTGCGTAATGAAGTACGAAGGAGCCCGCCCCCTGTGCCACTACTGCAGTGTCTGATCTCAAACAAATAGTGTAGATAGAGATAGTTTATTGATCCTACGTGAGGAATTTTAATTCATCATTAGCCATGTCCGATCCAGAGCTCTGACTGTAAACGCTGCAGAACAATCAGATACAGCTACTTCCCCACTGCAGACACCAGGGGTGTCACCATTTAGATTTTCTTTATTGAAATTGATTGAAATTACGTCATGGTCTTGAGCATTGAAATCAAAGAGAGGATCGCTCCATAGCTTATGGACTGAACCCTAACCCTTACTTCAGTGTGTAAGGTCCATGGTTATGTTACTGTCACAGAGAAAGCATCAAACTGACCACGATACATTCAGTTGAAATTAACAAAACAATTTCCATAACGTGATCCACTCTTAACGACTGCAGCAGTGTCTCTGTGTAAAATACAGTCAAATGTCCAAAAATCATCACCTTCATTTGCGGCTTTGTCACAAACACCTGCTTTACCATCGGTACCAGGCTGACAGCGCGGGACCAGTCCACTACTGCTCTGTCCAACGCAACAGCACCAGCAACAGCACCAGCAACAGCACCAGCAACAGCACCAGCAACAGCACCAGCACCAGCACCAGCAACAGCACCAGTGCTTATAGTGTCCTCAGCTGTTGTGTATCCAACTCAGGCACCAACACTAAAAGCTCCTCTGTGATAGTCAAAGTCTCATCAACAACACGAATGAACATACAACACTGTAACATCAGTCTCATCAATGGCATCAAAAACAGTAAAACATGACTTCAATTTGCATTTAAATTGACTTTCCATATCTGTAGCTCGTTCTGAAATGCTTTCTGCTGCACCTGGACAGACTGATGTTGGTTAAAGCGTGTCTTTTCTCAGGACTCAGTATTTCTGTAGTCTGTATGCGAGGTTTGACAAACTCTCCCTCACTGTAAGGCTGCGATGCTAATGCTATGTTGTTAGCATCAGGTAGATGCTAATGCTATGTTGTTAGCATCAGGTAGATGCTAATGCTATGTTGTTAGCATCAGGTAGCTTCCCTTTACAGCAGCACCACTGACCTCTCGCTCTGGGCACAAACAGACTGGTTTCTTCAGAGCCAGACACGTTTATTTTCTGTCTTCTCAATTCTCCGCTCAAATTGCTGTATTTTTCACCAAGTCTCATACTTTAAGATGATATTCCTTCAGTAATGGGACGCACAATTGCAAGTCCCCACCACACCTCATCCCCCACTCCCCCCACACTGACCCCCCTCATCCCCCACTCCCCCCACACTGACCCCCCTCACCCCCACTCCCCCCACACTGACCCCCCTCACCCCCACTCCCCCCACACTGACCCCCCTCATCCCCCACTCCCCCCACACTGACCCCCCTCATCCCCCACTCCCCCCACACTGACCCCCCTCATCCCCCACTCCCCCCACACTGACCCCCCTCATCCCCCACTCCCCCCACACTGACCCCCCTCATCCCCCACTCCCCCCACACTGACCCCCACTCCCCCCACACTGACCCCCCTCATCCCCCACTCCCCCCACACTGACCCCCCTCATCCCCCACTCCCCCCCACACTGACCCCCCTCATCCCCCACTCCCCCCACACTGACCCCCCTCATCCCCCACACACTGACCCCCCTCATCCCCCACTCCCCCCACACTGACCCCCCTCACCCCCCACTCCCCCCACACTGACCCCCCTCATCCCCCACTCCCCCCACACTGACCCCCCTCATTCCCCACTCCCCCCCACACTGACCCCCCTCACCCCCCACTCCCCCCACACTGACCCCCCTCATCCCCCACTCCCCCCACACTGACCCCCCTCACCCCCCACTCCCCCCACTCTGACCCCCCTCATCCCCCACTCCCCCCACACTGACCCCCCTCATCCCCCACTCCCCCCACACTGACCCCCCTCACCCCCCACTCCCCCCACACTGACCCCCCTCATCCCCCACTCCCCCCACACTGACCCCCCTCACCCCCCACTCCCCCCCACACTGACCCCCCTCATCCCCCCACTCCCCCCACACTGACCCCCCTCATCCCCCACTCTGACCCCCCTCATCCCCCACTCTGACCCCCCTCATCCCCCCACTCCCCCCACACTGACCCCCCTCACCCCCCACTCCCCCCACACTGACCCCCCTCATCCCCCACTCCCCCCACACTGACCCCCCTCACCCCCCACTCCCCCCACACTGACCCCCCTCATCCCCCCACTCCCCCCACACTGACCCCCCTCATCCCCTACACTGACCCCCCTCATCCCCCACTCTGACCCCCCTCATCCCCCATCCCCCACCCCCCACACTGACCCCCCTCACCCCCCACTCCCCCCACACTGACCCCCCTCAACCCCCACTCCCCCCACACTGACCCCCCTCATCCCCCACTCCCCCCACACTGACCCCCATCACCCCCCACTCCCCCCCACACTGACCCCCCTCATCCCCCACTCCCCCCACACTGACCCCCCTCATCCCCCACTCCCCCCACACTGACCCCCCTCCCCCCACACTGACCCCCCTCATCCCCCACTCCCCCCACACTGACCCCCATCACCCCCCACTCCCCCCACACTGACCCCCATCACCCCCCACACCCCCCCACACTGACCCCCCTCATCCCCCACTCCCCCCACACTGACCCCCCTCATCCCCCACTCCCCCCACACTGACCCCCCTCACCCCCCACTCCCCCCACACTGACCCCCCTCATCCCCCACTCCCCCCCACACTGACCCCCCTCATCCCCCACTCCCCCCACACTGACCCCCCTCATCCCCCACACACTGACCCCCCTCATCCCCCACTCCCCCCACACTGACCCCCCTCATCCCCCACTCCCCCCCACACTGACCCCCCTCATCCCCCACTCCCCCCCCACTCCCCCCACACTGACCCCCCTCATCCCCCACTCCCCCCCACACTGACCCCCCTCATTCCCCACTCCCCCCCACACTGAACCCCCTCATCCCCCCACTCCCCCCACATTGACCCCCCTCACCCCCCACTCCCCCCCCACACTGACCCCCCTCATCCCCCACTCCCCCCACACTGACCCCCCTCATCCCCCACTCCCCCCACACTGACCCCCCTCATCCCCCACTCCCCCCACACTGACCCCCCTCATCCCCCACTCCCCCCACACTGACCCCCCTCATCCCCCACTCCCCCCCACACTGACCCCCCTCATCCCCCACTCCCCCCACACTGACCCCCCTCATCCCCCACTCCCCCCACACTGACCCCCATCATCCCCCACTCCCCCCACACTGACCCCCCTCATCCCCCACTCCCCCCCACACTGACCCCCCTCATCCCCCACTCCCCCCACACTGACCCCCCTCATCCCCCACTCCCCCCACACTGACCCCCCTCATCCCCCACTCCCCCCACACTGACCCCCATCATCTGGGCTTTAGAAGCAACTGTGCCCAAGCCCTAGTGTGTTTATAAAAACCTATGTGACCGCAGCCTTATAGCAGAAGTTCATATCGTTTCCCTAACTTTTCACTAATAAAGTATAAATGACAGAATAAAATACTGTATATTCTGGTGCAGGAAATATCATTTCATCATTATTATATATTCATACTGTATATTTATAATTAAGCTTTAATTAAACAAAATATTATATATTAGATTAATTGACTGGGATATTCGATTGAATACTTGATCACTATGATTGACAGCTGCATCTCCAGCTACAGTGTGCTGTAAGAAAAAAAAAAAAAAACGAGACTTGAATAGTGATCCTAAAATCTAAAACTGAATCAAGGCTTTGGAGGATTGTGACACCTCTCGCAGACGCCATTCAAGCCATGTCTCAATCTCAGCCTTCCTGGTCTGGGAGTACGGCAACTCAAAACGCTGTGTGCAGAGTTCTGTACCCATGGCTGGAGTGTCGCTGGCCGGCTCCAGTGCCTCTCCGTTGGGCTGGGCGTGCTGGGCGTGCTGGGCGTGCTGGAGGCTCAGCTTGTGGCACACCTCAAAGGCCTGTCCCACGGTCCGGACGATACGCATGGCCTGGCTCTGCAAAGACACACATGTAATCACACAGTTAACAGATCCTTTACAGATCTGAAAAGCCTCACCAGCCGACCACCACTGAGGGCTCCTCCAGTGGAAACATTGGGGATACGATGTTCCAATCGTACATTGTATGATAAAAGTGAAAGCAGAATACTTTTACAATACAGCATGATTATAAGAAATAAAATGACTGTCCAATATTCAATCAATACATCATTTATTTGTATATCACAACGCATGTACAAGGCAATACAAGATGCTTCACAAGAGTAATTTAAAAACACAGATCAAATTGTATTAAAAAGACAATGGTCAATAATAATTTCATACTAAAACAGAGCAGCCTAAAAGGATGGGGTTTAACACTTTGATTAAAATGTGGGTTTGAAAAGGGAGATAAAAGCAATAAATAACATGTTTGCACACTTCTGTCTTTTGCACAATCTGAGTGATTCTATTTATGCCAAATGTGAGATCAGTAAAGCATTTCTTATCTTATCTTAAAAGTACAAAATAGATGTTTTCAGCCTAGTTTTGAACATGGTCTCACAACCTCATCCGTTCCATATCTTAGCTGCATAAATCTGAAATACTGCCTCCCCATGTTTCGTCCTGACTCTGGGCACCAGCAGGAGGCCAGTCCCTGTGCTCCTCAGAGTCCGAACCATGGATCTATAATAGTAACTGGATAGAGTATTACTAGCTTATAGCTGTCCCACCCATGGACACAGGGGGCGCTGTGGTACTGCAGACTAAATTCTCGAGGGCTACCCAGAAAGAAGTCCCATAGAACTCAATGTAAACTAAAACAGCTTGACCTCAGCTGACAGTTGCCTGGCCTGCCAAACGATATGCTTTTTCAAAGACATATAGTCTGGGAACGAGCTTGACCTCAGCTGACAGAGAACCTGACAGAGAACCTACAGAGAACCTACAGAGAACCTGACAGAGAACCTACAGAGAACCTGACAGAGAACCTAACAGAGAACCTACAGAGAACCTGACAGAGAACCTGACAGAGAAGCTGACAGAGAACCTACAGAAAACCTGACAGAAAACCTGACAGAGAACCTACAGAGAACCTGACAGAGAACCTACAGAGAACCTGACAGAGAACCTACAGAGAACCTGACAGAAAACCTGACAGAGAACCTACAGAGAACCTGACAGAGAACCTGACAGAGAACCTGACAGAGAACCTACAGAGAACCTGACAGAGAACCTGACAGAGAACCTACAGAGAACCTGACAGAGAACCTGACAGAGAACCTGACAGAGAACCTACAGAGAACCTGACAGAGAACCTGACAGAGAAGCTGACAGAGAACCTGACAGAGAACCTGACAGAGAACCTACAGAGAACCTGACAGAGAAGCTGACAGAGAACCTGACAGAGAACCTGACAGAGAACCTGACAGAGAACCTGACAGAGAACCTGACAGAGAACCTACAGAGAACCTGACAGAGAACCTACAGAGAACCTGACAGAGAACCTACAGAAAACCTGACAGAGAACCTACAGAGAACCTGACAGAGAACCTACAGAGAACCTGACAGAGAACCTACAGAAAACCTGACAGAAAACCTGACAGAGAACCTACAGAGAACCTGACAGAGAACCTGACAGAGAACCTACAGAGAACCTGACAGAGAACCTACAGAGAACCTGACAGAGAACCTACAGAAAACCTGACAGAAAACCTGACAGAGAACCTACAGAGAACCTGACAGAGAACCTGACAGAGAACCTGACAGAGAACCTACAGAGAACCTGACAGAGAACCTACAGAGAACCTGACAGAGAACCTACAGAGAACCTACAGAGAACCTGACAGAGAACCTACAGAGAACCTGACAGAGAACCTACAGAGAACCTGACAGAGAACCTACAGAGAACCTGACAGAGAACCTACAGAGAACCTGACAGAGAACCTGACAGAGAACCTACAGAGAACCTGACAGAGAACCTGACAGAGAACCTGACAGAGAACCTACAGAGAACCTGACAGAGAACCTGACAGAGAAGCTGACAGAGAACCTGACAGAGAACCTGACAGAGAACCTACAGAGAACCTGACAGAGAAGCTGACAGAGAACCTGACAGAGAACCTGACAGAGAACCTGACAGAGAACCTGACAGAGAACCTGACAGAGAACCTACAGAGAACCTGACAGAGAACCTACAGAGAACCTGACAGAGAACCTGACAGAGAACCTACAGAGAACCTACAGAGAACCTACAGAGAACCTGACAGAGAACCTGACAGAGAACCTGACAGAGAACCTGACAGAGAACCTGACAGAGAACCTACAGAGAACCTGACAGAGAACCTACAGAGAACCTGACAGAGAACCTAACAGAGAACCTACAGAGAACCTGACAGAGAACCTACAGAGAACCTACAGAGAACCTGACAGAGAACCTACAGAGAACCTGACAGAGAACCTGACAGAGAAGCTGACAGAGAAGCTGACAGAGAACCTGACAGAGAACCTGACAGAGAACCTGACAGAGAACCTGACAGAGAACCTACAGAGAACCTGACAGAGAACCTACAGAGAACCTACAGAGAACCTGACAGAGAACCTGACAGAGAACCTACAGAGAACCTACAGAGAACCTACAGAGAACCTGACAGAGAACCTGACAGAGAACCTGACAGAGAACCTGACAGAGAACCTGACAGAGAACCTACAGAGAACCTGACAGAGAACCTGACAGAGAACCTGACAGAGAACCTACAGAGAACCTGACAGAGAACCTACAGAGAACCTACAGAGAACCTGACAGAGAACCTACAGAGAACCTGACAGAGAACCTACAGAGAACCTACAGAGAACCTGACAGAGAACCTGACAGAGAACCTACAGAGAACCTGACAGAGAACCTGACAGAGAACCTGACAGAGAACCTGACAGAGAACCTACAGAGAACCTACAGAGAACCTACAGAGAACCTGACAGAGAACCTACAGAGAACCTGACAGAGAACCTGACAGAGAACCTACAGAGAACCTGACAGAGAACCTACAGAGAACCTGACAGAGAACCTACAGAGAACCTGACAGAGAACCTACAGAGAACCTGACAGAGAACCTGACAGAGAACCTACAGAGAACCTGACAGAGAACCTGACAGAGAACCTGACAGAGAACCTACAGAGAACCTGACAGAGAACCTGACAGAGAACCTGACAGAGAACCTGACAGAGAACCTGACAGAGAACCTGACAGAGAACCTACAGAGAACCTGACAGAGAACCTGACAGAGAACCTGACAGAGAACCTGACAGAGAACCTGACAGAGAACCTGACAGAGAACCTACAGAAAACCTACAGAGAACCTGACAGAGAACCTGACAGAGAACCTGACAGAGAACCTGACAGAGAACCTACAGAGAACCTACAGAGAACCTACAGAGAACCTGACAGAGAACCTGACAGAGAACCTACAGAAAACCTACAGAGAACCTACAGAGAACCTGACAGAGAACTTGACAGAGAACCTACAGCTTTCATAAAGATCGTATTTTATGGGGATGTTAGTGTCCCTTGTCGTCCTGAACTTTTTTTCTTTTTAAATCCTTTGTTTTTCTTTAGATCCACACTTTACTGCCACAAACTCTGCTCCTTTCCTTCCCGCTCTGACTCCGCTCTGATCAGCTCTGATTGGTCAGAGCGCGGCCGAGCCCCTCTGTGCATTTTACGGAACGCATCATGGGAGCTCGTTCAATACACAGAACAGATGTACTTTAGTGCGAGGCCATGGAGAGACTTGTAACAAGCAGAGCTGTTTTAAAGTCTATTCTCTGAGCCACAGGAAGCCAGTGCAGAGACCTGAGGACTGGACTAATGTGGTCGTACTTCCTGGTTCTAGTCAGGACTAATGTGGTCGTACTTCCTGGTTCTAGTCAGGACTAATGTGGTCGTACTTCCTGGTTCTAGTCAGGACTAATGTGGTCGTACTTCCTGGTTCTAGTCAGGACTAATGTGGTAGTACTTCCTGGTTCTAGTCAGGACTAATGTGGTCGTACTTCCTGGTTCTTGTCAGGACTAATGTGGTCGTACTTCCTGGTTCTAGTCAGGACTAATGTGGTCGTACTTCCTGGTTCTAGTCAGGACTAATATGGTCGTACTTCCTGGTTCTAGTCAGGACTAATGTGGTCGTACTTCCTGGTTCTTGTCAGGACTAATGTGGTCGTACTTCCTGGTTCTAGTCAGGACTAATGTGGTCGTACTTCCTGGTTCTAGTCAGGACTAATATGGTCGTACTTCCTGGTTCTAGTCAGGACTAATGTGGTAGTACTTCCTGGTTCTAGTCAGGACTAATGTGGTCGTACTTCCTGGTTCTTGTCAGGACTAATGTGGTCGTACTTCCTGGTTCTAGTCAGGACTAATGTGGTCGTACTTCCTGGTTCTAGTCAGGACTAATATGGTCGTACTTCCTGGTTCTAGTCAGGACTAATGTGGTCGTACTTCCTGGTTCTAGTCAGGACTAATGCGGTCGTACTTCCTGGTTCTAGTCAGGACTAATATGGTCGTACTTCCTGGTTCTAGTCAGGACTAATATGGTTGTACTTCCTGGTTCTAGTCAGGACTAATGTGGTCGTACTTCCTGGTTCTAGTCAGGACTAATGTGGTTGTACTTCCTGGTTCTAGTCAGGACTAATGTGGTCGTACTTCCTGGTTCTAGTCAGGACTAATGTGGTCGTACTTCCTGGTTCTAGTCAGGACTAATATGGTCGTACTTCCTGGTTCTAGTCAGGACTAATGTGGTCGTACTTCCTGGTTCTAGTCAGGACTAATGTGGTCGTACTTCCTGGTTCTAGTCAGGACTAATGTGGTCGTACTTCCTGGTTCTAGTCAGGACTAATGTGGTCGTACTTCCTGGTTCTAGTCAGGACTAATGTGGTCGTACTTCCTGGTTCTAGTCAGGACTAATGTGGTCGTACTTCCTGGTTCTAGTCAGGACTGGAGCTGCTGCATTTTGAA